TTATAGATTAATTAACAACCCACCAATGTCACGAACAAAAAGCCGAAAGTGCCAAAAACGCATAGCATCATTTAATGATAAAGCACAAAGAAGAGTGTTAAAGAAAACAACTAATATTCAACATAGTGAAAATTTGATAAGGACAGGTAAATCCAATGTTAGTAAAGAGTCAATAGGCGTGAGTGATATTGAAATACATGAAACACAAGTTCAAACAAGTCAAGATCAAATAATGGATAATCAAAATAAAACATACAAGAACAAACCAAGGTAAGCATGCATATTAACCATCTTTATTAATGAGTATTGGTATCATTATTAAAATAATTATTTTAGGAATGAGTATAGTAGTCAATAATAAAACACATTGCAATCAATTACACAAGGTAAGTACACATCTGTTAACCATCTTTATAATAAGTATCGTATTATTATTAAAATAATTATTTTAGAAACAGATATAGTAATCAACAATAAAGACACATTGTATTCAATTATACAAGGTATTGTATTCAATACAAGTTTTTCATAAAATACACCTTTATTAATGTATAAAATGCATTTTTAGGCAAGAAAAAATGTGTGTATATATGCAGTATTTGCGGTAAAGATGGTCATTGTAAATCTACTTGCCCTAACAAGAAGTAATAAGTATTATATATATTATGTGTTATGTCTGACATGTATATAGCATTTATATATGTATGCAAATATATACATATGTGTATTCGATTTGAATTCATGATGCTTCGTAATATCATTATCTTATGTTTTAATGATTTGCAAGTACCAGACAGAATTATTATATAAAACATACAATATTTGGAATGCTTGATATTATGTTATAATAATTCTATCTGATATTTACATAGCGTCAATAGTTGTATGTTTAATTATCTTGTATTGTTGTATATTATAAATGTCGAAATGTACATGCATAGTAATAATGGTGTGCTTCATATATCAACTTCAAAGTATGCAAACTCTTTTATTAGGGTAAAAGCTTGTACGTATTAGTTTTTTTGTATTAGGTTAGTAGGAAAGAGTAAAATTGTTTTGGCAAATTTTTTTCTTTTACAGATCGTATGTACTATAATAAGTTTTTACATATCTGTCTTGACTTGCTTTCGTACTATAGTACTTTACTATATACTCTTCTGTTATGTATATAATTATACTGTATATTTGATGTTTATAATAAATAATACTTAAATTCAAAATATTAAATTTTGTATAGATAGCATATTAAATATGCAAATATAATAAATAAATAAAATTAGTATTGTTTTACACCATAGGTGAATACTACCATAGGTAAAAAAACCACCTATGGTAATTTTTACCATAGATGAAAAACTACCTATAGTGTTTTTTTACTATAGGTAAAAATCACTATAGATGTGTTTTAGTAAAATTCTATTTCTAATATACTAAATTATAAATCTTTTTTATACAGTACAATTGAAATCTTTTTTGTACAATAAAAATTGATATTGAAAATTGTATTACTTAATTTTTTATAATATACTAAAACTTTTGCTTTTAAACATATTTGATCTATATAATTACAACTTATTTTTTGAATATATATTGTTAAACAAAAAAATCTGCATTAATATAAAAACCTTTAAAAAGATGTAGATAGATTTGTTTAAAAAATTAGAGTGAATTAGAGCTCTATATCATTATAAGTCTCTTAATTTAGAGTTTAATATAGAATTAAGAGATTTAGTTACTAATTCTAATAGATATACAAATTTATTTAATTAGTAGAATAAAGAATATTAAAAATTTTTAGTATTTGTTTTATTTACTTTAGCTATACTATATTATATCTATTAAAAATAATTAAATTTATATTTATAAAATTAATTAGAATTAATACTTATTTTGTTTATTTATCTTCTAGAATAAAAAGATAATTTGAATCTTATTAAGTATGAATTATTAGAATTTCAATTCTTTTTTTTTAATTATTAGCAGCCTTGCCAGTATTTGTATTAGATTAAAATATATGTAAAATATATATTAAAAACTATTTAAATTATAGATCTGATATACTTAGTTTTTTCTATAGATATCTAAGTACAGTCTACTATATTGGTTAAAACTACTGTTTTTGCTAGAAGCTGCATTAAGCTAGCTAATAAAGCTATAATAAAATGAGTTTATTTTAAAAGAATTTTTAACTATATTTAATTAGCAATTACTTTTTTTTATTCTATCCTTCTCTTTAAGGCAATAATTAATTTTTAGTTTTAATCTGCTATTTAATCTATTTTTAACTTCTGCTACAATACTATTGTCAAATTCTTTTAATTATAATTAAGTTTTCTTTCTTTTTCTAATTTATTTTGTTCTTTCTAATAGATAACTCAGCCTTTAGGAGTCATTTTTTATTTTTTTTTATTTTTTTCTTTTTATTTTATAGCTCTATATTTTTTTTTCTTTTTTAAAAAACTTTTTCTAAAGGTCTTCTCTGAAAGCATTTTTCTGTTGATCTTTTTTTTTATTTTTTTCAAAGCTATTTTTAGTTTCTTGGTTTTTAGATCTTGATTAGTTTGTTTGAGTCTTCTTTTTTTTCTATAGATTCAAATATTTTCTTTTTTTCTCTTTGAGTTTTGTTTTTTTTCTAGAAACCTCACTTGCATTTTGATATATTTTTTTGGTTTTAAATATTTCTAATAAGATCCTTTTTGCTTTTTTTAAAACTATGTTTTTTTTCTTTTCTAACTCTTGACTTTTACTATTTTTTGTCATTATATTTTAAATTATATATTTTTTATATATGTTGGTAGCTGTATAGAAACTGGTTCACTAAATCTATTCTATTAATAGATTTTTTTTTCTAATTTTTGATATTATTTTGTATATTTTTCTACTTGCTTGATATATAATTTTTATAACTAATTTATTATTTTTCTTTGTGAATTTTTACTTTGATTATTACTAAGATATTTGTCTTTTTTTGAAGTTGTTATCAAGATTTTAATCTTGTTTCTTTTAGCATTTTGTTTAGAATTTGTTTTCTTAAAGCTTTCAATATTTTGCTTTTTAGTTTTTTTTTAGATTCTTTTTTAGTTTTTATTGTCTATTTTCTATAATTCTGTTTCTTTATTAAACTTGCATTTTTTTCTTTTTTTCTTTGATTTTTTCTTTCTCTATATATTGATTTGTTGTAATAGTTTTGATAAAATTGTTATATTAATACATTCATACTATTTTGTTATATTACTTTTGTTAATTTTTCTTTTGTTCTTGAAATCTTTTGCTTTAATTTAAATCTAATTTCAACTTTATTTGTTTAATAGCTTGTTTTTTCTTGTTATATTCTATCTATCTTATACTGTCAGTTATTTCTAAATTGATTGTAATCTCATTTATTTTTTTAGATATAATGTATTTAACTAGATCTTTTTCTATTTATACTACTTCTTAATAGTCTGTATTGTTTCTTTTCCAAGTGCAAGTTTTGTATAATTGAGTTCTCCTACCTCATATTGCTATAATTTTTTATAAAATATTTTATTAGTGCCTTTGCTTCTTCTGTTATAATAAGTTTTTATCTAAAAGTTTTTGCTATTGTTTGTTTCATGTAACTTGTTATTTGTTATATTTGTTTATTTCTTTTGTTTTTATTCATTATGTAGTTCTTAACAT